GTCTACGGCTTGCCGGGCGGTGGTGGCGCACGCCTTTAATCCCAGCACTCGGGAGGCAGAGGCAGGCGGATCTCTGTGAGTTCGAGGCCAGCCTGGGCTACCAAGTGAGTCCCAGGAAAGGCGCAAAGCTGCACAGAGAAACCCTGTCTCGAAAAACCAAAAAAAAAAAAAAAAAAAGTCTACAGCCAAGCTGGGTAGTGGTGACACAGCACTCTCAAGAGGCAGAGCCAGGAGGATCTCTGTGAGTTCGAGGCCACCCTGGTCTACAGAGCGAGATCCAGGACAGGCACCAAAACTATACAGAGAAACCCTGTCTCGAAAAACCAAAAAAAAAAAAGCCACAGCCAGAGAGTCAGTGGTGCCATGAGTTCCAGGAATCTGCTAGTGTATGTCTTAGTTCCTGTTCTGTTGCTGTGAAGAGATACCATGACCAACGCAGCTTAGAGCAGAAACCATTTATTTGGGAGCTTGCTTACAGTTTCAGAGGGTTAGTACATGACCATCATGGTGGGGCGCATGGCGGCAGACGGGCAAGGCATCTCTGTTCTGAAAGTTACAGGCAGAGACAGACAGACTGCAACTGACTTGCGCTTTTGAAACCTCAAAGCCCACCCCCAGTGACAAACCTCCTCCAACAAGGCCACACCTCCTAATCCTAAACAATCCACCAACTGGGGACCAAGCATTCAAACATGAGCCTATCGGATCTTTTCTCATTCAAACCACGGTAGGAAAGAGGATTGCTCCTAATCCCCAGGCTCTAGACCTAGAAAGTATTCCAGTGTGAGTTAAACATGCGCACACACAGAGAACCTCATTCACTCCACAAGGTTTTTTTGTGTTGTGTTTTGTTTTGTTTTTTGAAAGGGTATCAATGTGTAACCCTGGCTGGCCTGGAACTTGCTTTCTAGCCCAGAAGTGGCCTTGAATTCAGTTCTGCCTGCCTCTGTCTCTGAGATTAAAGGTGTGTGCCTCTACACCCAGCTCCACAGAAGTGAGAAGCTCCTCACTTCTGCTACGGGCACTGTAGGAGACAGAGAACCCAGCAGCAAGCTAGACAAGTGGGTCTGCCCTGGGGGAGCCTCCCATCCTCTCCAGATACCTACTCAAGTCAGTGTTCCATAACAGGAAGGGAAGTGGTCCAGTGTGATTTTGGCTGGATTCAAATTCTGTCCATCGATCCCATCCTGAACTCTTCCCAGAATGCACTGTCACATCCTATGTCTGGGGAGTCCTGATTGGGGAGCTGTCTCTCCCAAGAAGGAGTGCAAGACCAACAGTCAATATCCCCCCCTGAAGTGATGCTTCTACTGTGATTTCAATACAAGACTGGCCAGGGAATCTGAACTAAGTATCTCTAAGTCAGCAGGGTTGAAGGGGTCATGTTTTGGAATGCAGAGCTGGGATAAAAGAACTGGGAACCTTGAGGCCTGGCTTCCAGAGTGGACCCCTAAAGACCATCTCACTGGACAGAAGCATACACACTGCTAAGCTTGGGGGTGGTTGGCAGTCCCAAACAGGTTCCAGGTGTCCATCCTTATTCCTCACATTCCTTCAAGGGTAGACAAGTGTGTGCAGAGATTCGGGGGCTTGTCCTGCACTGGGAACCAGCAAGGGTAAAAACTTGGCCTCTGTGTTGGAGTGCTTAGGGATGGATAGGGGCATGAGACCAACCCTGAGTTGAAGCAGCATCACCAACAAACCCAGGGATGACCTCTAGCTTTCCTCTATGACCACTTTCCATTGTACTAGAGACAGGAGGAGAAGGGGCTGTGGTAGGCAACGTTTGGTACCTTCCCCTAAATCAGTTCCTTCTTCCAGATTTATCTTTCACAAAGTGCATTCTGACCATTCGCAGAATCTGTGGGATCTGAGGGGGCCAGCTAACCACTGGGGAACTGTCTAGTGGAAAAGGGGGCTTGAACAGAGCGGGCAATAGAAGATGGGGTCGATATTTAGGGGTGGCACTAAATCATAGCAGAGGATGGAGACAGAGTCCTGGACTTTCTATGTTGCAGCCCCCCAACACACCTGCCCTCTATTACAATGCCACCTTGTACCTGCTTCAGGGCTATCCTTCAAGGGGACCTCTAGCACTTCCTACCAACTTAAACTTAGGTGGCCACTCCCTGGAGTGTTGGATCCTACAGTCCTCAGAAGGCACCTGGTTACCCGTGGGTGGGCACAACAGGTGGAAAGAGGAGTCCAGAACGGTTTGCTGAGGATCAGAACCACCACTGTGTGAGAGCTAAGCCTGGCCAGGTCTAACCCCTGGCTAACAGTTGTCAGCTCTGACCACCTGGACTTGGGGGGCGGGGGGGTTGTGTGGAAGCAGTCAGGAAAATTGGTCTGAGGCCCTCCTGGGTAGGTGGCTACTATCGTCCTAAGCCTTCATCCTGCCCCCTTTCCCACTTTCCAGTTGAGCCAAATTGGGCATCCTTGGGAATGTGGAGGAGACAAGGCAGGTTACCCTGGTAACTGCCTGGCCCTGCCCTGCTGCTGTACAGACAAAGGCCACTACCCTCCCCCCCTGGCCACTGTGTAGGCAAGGTTCCCAACCCCCCACCATCACCCTGGCTCAGTTCCCCCCACCCCTCCTCTGCCTTTAGCTGAAGCTCCATTAGCTTTGCACAAAACCTCAGCCCACCCCCGGGAAAGGTGCTCTCTGAGCTTTATTGTCCTGAGCAGTGGGGGCTGGGGCCACCCTCAGGTTCTCTGGCTAGGCTCCAGGATTGAGAACGGCTCCCAGAGGGGAAGCTGCTGCCAAGGATGGCCTGGGGCTTAGGCAAAGTCTTGTAAGGGGCTAGAGACTGAGGCTTGGAGCTATTTCCTTGGCCACTTTGTATGCCCCACTCTATCTCAGGATTCACGGTAGATAGTTCTAGTGCCTGGTACTTCACTGGCCTATTTTAGTTTAGTTGACGATTTGTTTTGTTTTATTTTGTTGTGTTTCTTCACAGGGTTTCTCTGTGTAGTCCTGGATGGATCTCACTCTGTAAATCAGGCTGGCCTCAAACTCACAGGGATCCACCTGCCTCTGCTTCCCGAGTGATGGAATTAAAGGCATTCGCCGCCATCACTGCCCAGCTTAGTTGACAATTTTTAATTTATATTTTACATTATATTACTATTTGTTTTACTTTATTTATTTTAGTTTTTTGAGACAGGGTTTCTCTGTGTTGCCCTAGCTGTCCTGGAACTTGCTCTGCAGACCAGGCTAGGCTTGCATTCACAAAGACCCACTTGCCTCTCTCTCCCGAGTGCTAGGGTTAAAGATGTGTGCCACCATACCTGGTTTTTCTTTCTTTCTCTTTCTGCCTTGAGACAGGGTCTCGCTCTGTAGTTCAGGCTGCTTCGAATTCACTATGTAGCCCAGAAAGGCCTTGAACTTGCTGTGGTCCTCCATATTCAGCTTCCTGAGCATTTGAATTACAGATGGAAGCTACCACACTAGGTCTATGTTCACTTTCTTTATTGGGGGACAAGGTTGTTTGTGTGTGTGTGTGTGTGTGTGTGTGTGTGTGTGTGACAGGGTCTCTATTATATAGCTCTGGCTGTTCTGGAACTCACAAACGTAGATCAAGCTGGCCTTGAACTCCCAGAGATCCACCTGCCTCTGCCTCCTGAGTGCTAGGATCAAAGGTGTGCACCATGACGCCTGACTCCATGTTCACTTTTAAGTGTGAATTAAAGTAGGGCCGAGAGCAGTGGTTTTCAACCTTCCTAATGCTGTGACCCTTTCCAGCTCTCCTCAGGCTGGAGAGATGGTCAGAGGTTTGAAGCACTTGCTGTTCTTCCAGAGGTCCTGAGTTCAAGTCCCAGCAACCACATGGTGGTGGCTCACAGCCATCTGCAATGAGATTTTGTGCCCTTTTCTGGCCTGCAGAGATACATGCAGGCAGAACACTGTATACATAATAAGTAAATCTTAAAAAAAAAAAAGAGTTCCTCATGTTACAGTGACCCCCCCAACACATAAAATTATTTTCGTTGCTACTTCATAGCTGTAATTTTGCTACTGTTATGAATCATAATATAAATATCTGTGTTTTTTGATGGTCGGGGTGGAGACTCACATGTTCAGAACCGCTGTCTTAGAGTGACACATACCTGTGAGACCTTACTGCACATGAGAGTATCCATCCACCTGGAAAACACCAGGAAAACGGGAGCTTTCTATACTTGGTGACAAACTGAACTGCACCTGCCTGGGTGGCAGACCTGCTGGGCCACCTCGTGCTAGTGGCCTGAGAAAGTTAGCGCTGGGTGCGTTTCGAGGATGTCAGTGAGGTGGGTGCTTCATACGAAGGAAAAATACCCAATACCAAAAAGGATTCATTTGGGGACCAAACCTTGTGGCCCCAACCAGGGTGCTGCTGCTGTCCCTGGTGCTGACTGGCCGCCGGGAGCTCACCTCTACCAGGAGCTTTTTCTAGACCTAGGTTAGGGCAAGATGCAGGGTAGATAACGTCCCCTGAAGGCTCTGTCACCAAGGTAAGTCTACTGGAAGGTGAACCACTAATGCCAAAGGGAAGCATCCTCCTCACCCAGGCCACAACGCACCTCCCACGGTGGGGCCCTGGGTTAGCGCCGTGGCGCTCGTTTTCACCCAGAGCCTTTAGTTTTTACATGGCTAGTGTTTTTTGTTCTGCAAACATCCTCACCATGTGCTCTAGCTCGCTTTTTAACAATTTCCCCTCATTTCTGAGGACGGAATCTGAGCTGGGACCCGGGGAAGGGCAGGGGCAGCGCGCGGCATGCAGAAGGTGAAGGTTGGGAAATACAAGCAAGAGGTCTGCTCGTCATCCCCACGGGAGGGAAGACGGCTTTCTCCTTTGTCGCCGTCTCCCAGGGGCAGGAAGCTGCACGTCTGTCTCCGGGAACACCCCCCCCCCCATCCCTTTTCCACCCCCCTCCCGCTTCCCCGCCCCCGGTCGGTCGCCAGGCTGGGGAAATCCGCCGGGCCTCGGCCCCGCCCCGCCGCCCCGCCCTGCTGCGCCGCAGCCCCCCACCCCCCACCCCGCTTTGCTCAGCGGTGCTCACGCCTGCTGGGCGTGGGGCGCGGGCCGGGTGCTGCGCGGGCCTCCGGGGCTCCGGGGCTCTCGCTCCAGCTGCCGCTGCGGATATGTCGGGTCCGCGCGCGGGATTCTACCGGCAGGAGCTGAACAAAACAGTATGGGAGGTGCCGCAGCGGCTGCAGGGCCTACGCCCGGTGGGCTCCGGCGCCTACGGCTCGGTCTGGTAGGGGCCGGCAAGGATCTGGTGGGAGCTGGGCGGGAAAGCGTGCGCGACCCTCCAGCGCGACGTGGGGTTCCCGGCGTGGGGAGGGGCCTCGCCCTGCCTCCGCCCCCGGCCGGCACGCTTCTGAAGAATGAATGGGGGGTGGAGGGGGACACGGAGGAAACTTTTCCTACTAGATTACACTCGTTGGCAGGGAGGGGGTCCTCTAACGTCCCCCCCCCATCTCTGATCCCTAGTTTCTCCCAGTAAGGCCGAATCCCGCGGCGTCACAGCTGGCGGGAGAGCAAGTCTCTGGGGCTGCTAAATGGAGCAGCCATCCGGGTTATTTGGGGCAGAGTCTAAATAGCTGGAGGGTCTAACATGCCCCCAGACCTGAGTGTTTGAAAAGGGGGCTCCCGGCGCTGTGGGGAGACCTCTCCTCTTCGGAAGCCATCAAACTCTTCGTGGATCCTACTACCCCTCCTCCTCCAGTGTCCTAGGAGTCTCAGACAGAGGCTTGAGCAGAATCAGACATCTACCCTCCTGTCTACACCCTACCCCAGTCTACCCAACAAAGGATCTCAGGATGTAGCCCCGCAGCTAGGGCTTGAGGATCAAGGGTTAGAGTCTTGATCCGGGCAGAGTACAGGTTGGCTGAAGCTAGCTAGCTCCCAGGCACCCGGGATTGGAGAATGGGGGCAGATAGTCCGTGTTGACAGGCTGGTCAAGGGTGTGGACACGGATATGTGCCCCACACCCCAGCACTGGGAATGGGGGCTGAGGCTCAAATCTTGGATCTTATGCTGTCATTCGCCTGTGTCAAAGCTCGGACAGCAGGGCTGCTGATGAAATCTTACAGATTCTGTAATAGAGAGGAAACCAGTCCTACTTTACAGGGCCCATAGTGAGCTTGGTCATGGGATGGCACCACACGTCTGTAGTTTATAATCCTAGTACTATGAGATGGATAAGCTTGTTCTGATGACACTTGTTCCTTATCTCCTTCTTGTTTCTCTTAGGGTGTACCCCCTTCCACAGTGACAGAGACAGGATCTCCCCCCCAACACCGAAAGGAGCAGGACAGAGGAAAAGATAAGACAGGCTGTGTCTGGGATGCTCATGGGCTCAGCAAGTAGAGGAGGAGGATGTTACACAAAATCCCATTTAAAAACAAATAATGCAATAATAAATTAGAGGGAGGGAGGAAGGGGAGTGGGAGGGGGAGGAGGTTGGGAGTGGGTTGGGGAGGAAGGGGGGCAGACACCTTGCAGAGTGTTTGGACATGGACTCAGATGGCATCATCTGGGGGCTGACCATCTAGGAGTTACTGGGGGGCAGCCAACTTTCCCAAGTGAGGCCTGGGTGGGTCTCCACTGGTCTGTGATGCTGGGTTTGCTCTACTGAGGTTGGTGATAGGATGCCAACTCCTGGTAACTTGTACAGATGCAATGGAGTAGGAGGATCTGCGGCTCTAGTAGCCACCCCCGCCACACCTCACCCCAGGAGTTATTTCGATGTTCCGTTTATCATAGGGAACCAGCTTTCCTCCACGACTCTCTAGTCTCATGAGCATCCCAGACCCACCATGTCCTATCCTTGCCTTTCCTCTCCTGGTGGGAATGGGTGGTATCCTGTCTCCACTCACTGCAGGGAAGGGTGCACCCCGAGATGAAGAGACTGTAGCCAGCTAGGCTCCTTCAGTGGGTTCATAGCTGCTCCAGTCTTGAGGGCAGTGGGACCAGAATGTGGGGGAAAGCCCTATGACCACAGCTCATGATCATGCTGGTCTAGGTCCCACCAATACAGAAGAGGGCATGTTCTCATGTGCTCATTTGAGGCCTTCCAGTGAAGGGCAGAAGGGTGAAGAGGAGCTGGGTGGTGGTGGTAGCACATGCCTTTAATCCCAGCACTCAGGAGGCAGAGGCAGACGGATCTCTGTGAGTTTGAGGCCAGCCTGGTCTACAGAGTGAGTTCCTGGACAGCCAGTGCTACACAAAAAACCCTGTCTCCAAAAACCAAAAAGAAAGGAAGGAAGGAAGGAAGGAAGGAAGGAAGGAAGGAAGGAAGGAAGGAAGGAAGAAGGGTAGAGGTGGAGGATCCTCCAGTCTTCAGGTAGTGGGCCAGAGAGCACCCAACCCACCCGGGATGAACATTTCCTACCATCCAGTTGTTCAGTTATAAATTGTGTGTGTGTGTGTGTGGGGGGGGGGTTTCTTTGCTTTTATGAGACAGTGTTTCACCAGCTAACCTTGAACTCATCTCAGATCTTTTGCTTCAGCCTCCCCAAGAGCTGGGATTACAGGCTTGAACCACCACGTCCAGCTTCAATTACAAATTAGGATGCTTTTTTTGACACCTCTTCCTTCCTCAATCTAGTATGCGGAGGCGTGGGGGTGGGGTGTTCATGGATGGCTTTGTAGGTAAGCCTCCCTTGCTCACGGCAAGGAAGGACGAGGGCTGCTTGCTGAGGGAGTGTCCGTGGACATGTTCTTAGCGTGTTTTCCATGCAGCGGCCTCGTTGTGAGTAGAGTCTTAGGTTTGGGCTAGAATCACGAGAGAAGAAAAGATTTAAAAAAAACAAAAACCAACTCTGCCAGAGAACGCTCAATCTACTCGAGGGGGTCTCCTAAGGGAGGTCCAAGAAGGGCGGCGTGGAGACAGCAGGCAGGGACCGGCCTCCTAGGTCTTGGAGCCAGCCGCGGAGGCTTGCTCTCCTGCCCTCCGGCGCAGGGTGGACTCAGGCCAGGCGCTCGCGCATCGCCTCTCTCGCCCACCTTGCAGCTCGGCCTACGACGCGCGTCTGCGCCAGAAGGTGGCTGTGAAGAAGCTGTCTCGCCCTTTCCAATCCCTGATCCACGCGAGGAGGACCTACCGCGAGCTGCGCCTCCTCAAACACCTGAAGCACGAGAACGTGAGAGGGCGGGCCAGTGGTGTGGGGATTGAACAACCGACACCGCCCGGTGGGGGCGGGAGCCAACTGGGAGGGGAGGGGCCTTTAGGGGACACGCCCCCATACGGGCGGGGCCCAAACCAGCGGGGCGTTGCCTACAGCTGTGCTGTGGTCCTGCCTCGGTTCCCTGCCCAGGTCATAGGGCTTCTGGACGTCTTCACGCCGGCCACGTCCATCGAGGATTTCAGCGAAGTGTGAGCGGCCTGGGCAGACTTGGCGGTGGCCTTGGGAGCTTAGTAGGGGAGGGGGTAGCGAGACACAGTCCTAACTCCTGACCCTGTTGCAGGTACCTGGTGACCACCCTGATGGGCGCTGACCTGAATAACATCGTCAAGTGCCAGGCACTAAGCGATGAGCATGTTCAGTTCCTCGTCTACCAGCTGCTGCGTGGGCTGAAGGTGGGGCGCGTGGGCTCTGGGGTTCGTTCCCTCGATGGGGCAGAACGGGGTGGAGCCTGGGCTCACCCGGTCTGCCCTCCCCTGCAGTATATCCACTCGGCAGGCATCATCCACCGGGTAGGTGCAGCTGTGGGCGAGGGTGAGGGTCAGTCACTCTGGCCAGGCTCACGGCCGCCGCACTCATGCCCGCCCACCCCACCCTGCAGGACCTGAAGCCCAGCAATGTGGCGGTGAATGAGGACTGCGAGCTTAGGGTAAGGGGTGGGGTGGGGTGTGTGAACAGTGGGGGTGCACAGAGAGAGAGGTGTCTTACATAACGCCTGTGGTCCTCCAGATCCTGGACTTCGGGCTAGCGCGCCAGGCTGATGAGGAGATGACTGGGTATGTGGCCACACGTTGGTACCGGGCGCCAGAGATCATGCTGAACTGGATGCACTACAACCAGACAGGTGCTGTCAACCCTCCACAGTGGCCTTGTCCTAGAAGGGTGGGCAGGCAGTGCTCACACCAATGTGTAGGGAAGGTGACAAATTGGGGATAGGAAGAAGGGCTGAAAGGGAGAAGAGCATGCTTTGGAGCTCTGAGTGAGGGGCAAGAGAAATTGGTGGGACCGGCTTTAGAAAGGCTTCTAACTTGGTGGGTGTCCTCATACCTCTTCTCAGGGTAGGGGACAGAACTCCGCTGGTCTCTTTGGTTCTGGATATGACTGAGGGTCATTGGGCAGGTTTCTCCCCAGCTCCACAGGAAGAATTTGGGGGTAGCAGACTGATAGAGTCTCCTTATTCTCCCCCAACAGTGGACATCTGGTCTGTGGGATGCATCATGGCTGAGCTTCTCCAAGGAAAGGCCCTCTTTCCGGGCAACGACTGTATCCTTGGGAAGCAGGGTCAAGCTGGGGTCCCATTCTACAGGGTAGGTAGGGGTGGTCACCAGCCCTTTTCCGAAGTCTTCCTTCTTATGCCATGTCACGTGGGGCTCCCTGTCCTGAGCCACAGCTCCCCAGTGTACCAGGGGCTGGGGCTGGAAAGACTGGCCACCAGGTGTTTCCTGAGCTAGGTAGACATCGACCAGCTGAAGCGAATCATGGAGGTGGTGGGCACACCCAGCCCTGAGGTTCTGGCAAAGATATCCTCGGAGCATGTAAGTTAGTGGCCATCCATCCATCTGTTTGTTCTTCTGCTGACCAAGCACCCAGTCATGTTGGGGAGGGGGTGGTATGCAGATAAATGGGCATCCCGTGGGGGACATGGACAGAGAAGGACAGAGCTTGTACTAGAAACCCAACCCTTCAGGGAGAAGCAGGTGAGCCAGGAGGACATCTCCAGGTAGGGGCAAGAGTGGAGCACAAACCCATCAGTACTGACAGAACTCCTCCAGCTGTAGACAGTAGAGGCAGGTGAGAGCAGAGAAAGCTTTGAATATTTGGCTTCTGCAGACATCACCAGAAGCCACATGGAGGTCTGGAGTCCCCAGACGGTTTTGTTTTGTTTTGGGAGACAAGGCTTCTCTATGTAGCCCTGGCTGTCCTGGAACTTGCTCTGTAGACCAAGCTGGCCTTGAACTCAGGGATCCACCTGCCTCTGCCTCCTGAGTACTGGGATTAAAGGTGTGTGTCACCACCACCCAGCTAGGGAGCCCCCAGACTTCGAGAGCAAGACTCTGGCTTGCTGGGGCACCTGCCAGGCAGATTGGAATGAATGCATCAGGGACATCTGATGCCTTCTGCCCAGTTTGGAGTCATGGGAATAGAGGATAATTAGTCCTTCAAGCCCTTCTTATGTGCCCCCAGGCCCGGACATACATCCAGTCTCTGCCCCCCATGCCCCAGAAGGACCTCAGCAGTGTCTTCCATGGAGCCAACCCTCTGGGTGAGGACTGGTACTGGGTATGGGTTGGGCTTCAGATCCAGGACCGGATGTGGTGTTAACCCTCATTCCTGTAGCTGTAGACCTCCTTGGAAGGATGCTGGTGCTAGACAGTGACCAAAGGGTCAGTGCAGCTGAAGCCTTGGCCCATGCATACTTCAGCCAGTACCATGATCCTGACGATGAGCCAGAGGCTGAACCCTATGATGAAAGTGTTGAGGCCAAGGAGCGGACACTGGAGGAGTGGAAGGGTGAGCATAGGGCAAGGGGACATGGGAGAGGGAGCAGTGCCCAAGAAGTCTGTGGGCTGCATTTTCTCAGAACAAGACTTTACATGTTTCATGCAAGAAACTCCCCAGAACTTGCCCCCAAGTGGCCTGGGAGGGGGAAAACACATGAATGTCTGTACTCCAGAGTGAGACATGAAAGGTGTGTGTGTGTGTGTGTGTGTGTGTGTGTGTGTGTGTGTGTGTGTGTGTGTGAAACTTGGAGGACAATGTGGGGAAGGTTCTGTTTCTCAGCTTAGGCAGTGGTAGATGTGGGCTGGGAAGCAGATACCATACATGCAGATGAGGAACTGGGTTGTGTGGGGGGGAGGGAACAGCACAATCTCACCCCCCCTTTTTTTTTTTTCATTCCCCCAGAGCTTACTTACCAGGAAGTCCTTAGCTTCAAGCCCCTGGAGCCATCACAGCTGCCTGGCACCCATGAGATTGAGCAGTGAGGCCTGAGGGGAAGCCTGGGCCTGCCCCCTTTTCTCAGCTTTCCAGTTTTCCTCAAGAGGTGCCTCTCAGGCAGCCCTGACACGTAACCTGGGACCCTTTGCCTTGAGAAAACTCTACACATCTAACACACATGAATGCACGAATGTGTACATATGCCTGCCATTATGTGTTGGAGTCCAGGCAGTAGTGTTTCTGGGCCTACCTTGGTCCACCCAGGTTCTCCTTGGGACCTCTGTGAGGGATCTGAATGTGTCCCTGTCTGGAATCTCTTCTGCTCTGAAGACTCTGGATTGGGAGAAAGGCAAATGGGCCATGCCCCCCCCCCCCCAAGACTCTGAGGGGATGGGAGTCACAGTGGTTGGAGCAGCTCAACCTGGAAGTGAGTGGCTCAAAGCTGAGGCAGGGCCAGTGCCCACCACCCAAATGAGTGGAGTTTCCTCTGGGGGTGGCAAGGCAGAGACCATCACCAGGTATCTAATCAGAAAAGCCAGCTGCAGCTTTGTGTTTACCTGTGATATGTGGACAAATGGGCATGAGTGTATGTTCCTGGTGTACACATCAGAGCATATGCAGGCAGGTGCTGGTGTGTATGAATCTGTGAGCATCCAAAGGTCAGCAACCATTTCTGGTAGGGCACCTAAGATGGAGACACTCTTGCCTTCTCTTCCCCAAGTTCCTGTTACCTAATGGGTCTTGAGACCCAGTTGTGAACTAGATAGACTAAGGCTCGGAGAGGTGCCAAGATCCATTCGTTTGAGCCCAAACCAGGACTTTTCTGCTAGGGTGTTGGAGCTGCTGCAGGATCCTGGGGCACAAGGACACAATGCCTGCTGGGAAGCTGATGAAGGAGGGGGTCTAATCTCAAGGATGCTAGGTGGACAGCACCCATGAATATGAACTTAGACAGTCTTGCTCCTGGACCTTGATTCAAAGCTGACAAACGTCTGTCCACATTCTACCTCCACCTACCCTTGTACCTCTGCAGCTGGTCTGGGGTGCTGTGGTCTGTGAGGCATCCCTCATCTCCCCTTTCCCCAGAGAGGAGCTGACCAAGTAACTTTGGAGGTAGGGCGCTGTTGGAAGGTGGGCTGGCAGTGTGGCTCCTCCCCGAAGAGATGATGAACTTCTGCTATCAGGGATCAGGGGGCTCTGGATGTCAAGTGCCTGCACTTAGTGTGCACAATAAAGGGGTTTCCCTGTTGCTCTCGTTGGTGTGGAAAGGCTCCAGACTCTATCGCTTCTACCGCTCCTGCTGCCTGGAGGGGTGGGTGGACCGCTGGGCTTGGTCCTCTTCCAGCCAGCCCCGCAGACTTTGCACCCCTGGATCACCGAGTGAGAGCAGTGGTCATTTCTGGTGCCATCACAGCTCCTCGGAGGGTTCAAGAACCTGGGAGACTAGTGCAGGATAAGACCCACAGGATAAAAGGGGGAAAATGGTGTGATAGCCATCCCACATTGGTCTCTGCTGTTTTATGTACATTGGGATTCAGTGGACAGGCTTGGCTCCCTTTTACGCAGTGATGAAGCTGGCTCTGGGGTGGGGTGATGGGGTGGGATTGTCTCTGGAGTGAAGGCCAGTTCTTCCTCAGGGATTGGACAGGATATGGGAAATAGCTTTCCTTTCCTTCCTGGCTAAGGCAAAAAGGCTACCTTAGCCCAGGATACAGCCAGCTCATGTATCATGCCCATGTGCTGAATCTTGGACCTCCAGAGGCCTTAGTCTGGCAGCTGGTCCTAGGGGAGACCTAGTGTTGGGGGACTGGCCGCAGGAATGGAACCCAATATATGGCCTTCGTTCCAAAGTCTGGTCTGGCTTAGTCCCCCCTAGAATAAGGAGGGGAACTGAGGAAATGGGTGGGTGGCCAGAGGCCTCCCAGGGCATGGAGGGCACAGGATATAGGCAGATGTGGTCTGAGTGGCCCAGAGCTCCCCCTGCTCACTCTTGTCTGCTTGTGAATGTGCCACAGCAGCAGCAGCAGCAGCCCAGGTGTAAAGCTGCTCTGGCTGGCCTTGAGCTGCTGATTCATGGCAGCAGGCAGGCAGGCAGGCAGGCATGGAGGGAGGGGAAGAGAGTTCTGGGGGATCTTGTTACTACTCTTCCACCCAGTGGGATCCTGGAATGGACTTTGGTCACTAGGCTGTGGGAAGGTTGGTGGCTTTACCCTCCAGGGCGCATCTGTTTCAAGTCTGGGCCAGACCCCAGAGAGAAAGCTCACATGAAGGCACTACATAGGATCTCCTTTTTTTTCCTGGGGGCACACATCTTTAGCTCATTCTGTGCTTTGAAGGTCAAGCTGGATAGCAGGTGGGATAGATAGTGGGCCAGTCCTATTCAGTACTTGAAGGAGGCACTCCACATACCAGGTGGGGGCCAGGGCGGGGAACAGAGGGGCAAAGGGGCCCTAGAAGGGCCTATATGACCAACTCCTCGGGTTCCTAGATTGGGAAGCTGAGAGCTAGTGGCCACAATGGGGTTGGGGATGCAACCTGAGATGTCTGGGAGACAGAACAAAATACCTCTTCTATCCATAGAGAAGGAGATGAATGGATCAGCCCCAGGGGCGGGGCATCCTTGGGAAAGAAGAGTTGAGCCGGGGAACAGGAAAACAATTGGAATGGGATGGGATTGGTAAATGGGCAGGTAAACCTGACCTGGGGCTGGAGTAGAAGTTGGTGAGCTCAAGTTGCCTAGAATGGACCCGGAGTTCTGGAAGGACAGGAAAGGTTGCAATCCAGAGAAGCACCTGCTAAGACCCCCAGGGCCGAGAAGTCTAATGAGGATAGAGTCCGGCCAGGGCGTTTCAGCGCCACCTCCCGCCCCGGGTCCCTGTGAGCTATGGGGCAGCTTCCCGCCCCCCCTCTTCCCAAGCCTTCCGCCCAACCCCGGAGGCCTCCTCGGGTTTCCGCAGGGGCCGGAGGGCAGACGGGGGTGTCACGTGTTCAGGGCTCGGGGGCCGGGTTGGTCAGTGGGCCGGGAGGGACCACTTTGCCGGCCGGAGACAAGGATCGGGTGGGAGTTGGCGGTTACAGGGAGTTCAGGGTGACGACCCCAAGAGAAGAGGCCGTAAGGGACAGCCCCAGAGGCGGGCGGGCGGCGCGGAGCCCGCCTGCCACGCAGTGACCTGGGGAGAGCGGGCGGAGCCCCTGATCCCTAGTCCGGTCCTGGGGCGCGGTGCTCCGGCCGGGGATGAGCTCCCCGCCACCCGCCCGCAAGGGCTTTTACCGCCAGGAGGTGACCAAAACGGCCTGGGAGGTCCGCGTCGTGTACCAGGACCTGCAGCCCGTGGGCTCTGGTGCCTATGGTGCAGTGTGGTGAGCATTCGCCGGGCGGGGCGGCAGGCAGGGCAGGCGGCTGCTGGCGATAACCGGGCGGGTTCTCTAGCCAAGCTGTCCGCCCCGCAGCTCTGCTGTAGACAGCCGCACTGGTAACAAGGTGGCAATCAAGAAGTTGTACCGGCCCTTCCAGTCCGAGCTGTTTGCCAAGCGCGCCTACAGAGAACTGCGGCTCCTCAAACACATGCGCCACGAGAACGTGAGTCCAACGCCCGTCCCAGATGCGGACACTGTGCACCGGCCGCCTCTCATCCTGCCCTCCCCTGCAAATCCTGCCCACCGCCCCAGCTTCCCGGGGCCTGGGTACCTCCTACCCAGTTTAGCCTCCAGCTTGAGTAAGCTAACAGCAGCTTCCAGGTGGGAAGTGGAGGCAGATCCCAGACCCCTTTCTGGGTGACAGTACAAGTTCAGCCCCGGCTTCAGTGGCTTGCTTGGTTTCACCTTCGGTCCACCTCTATTTTCTCAGCCCAGGCAGTGGTCAGGGTATGTTCTAGGCCTCAGGGCTCCTCAGGGCTCACTCCAGACCCTGTCTCCACTCAGGTTGGTGGGAAGAGGGTTTTCCTGGAAGGGGCATCTCTTCCCCACCCTAGGTCTTCTTTTGCCCACCTCCTGAGTCTTCTATTCCAGGCAGGCAGGTCGCTAGGATTATGCACCCTGGCTCTATCATCCCAAAGCCTCCAGTCTCTGTGGATACGAGATTTAAGGCGCGAAGCATTACTGTCACCATTGTCGGTGTGCATTTCTCCCGTCAGGGAAAGCATCTCAGTCCTACCTGCCCATGGCAGGAAAATGCACACGGCCGCCCCTGTGCCTCTCATATCAGCATTGCTGACCATCAGAATCCTTCTCTCAGCCAGGGGGCTTTGTCTTCATATGGTTCTTCCTGAGGCTGTGAGTTCTATTCCTGCTCCCACTTCCCACCTGGGCAGTGGCGCTAATCCTGACATGTTTTAACCTCCCTGGTCATCAGAGTCAATAGCCCATGGAACAATGAACCCCCTGTAGCTAACAGTAAACTGTCCCCCATAACTGACCCCCCCCCCCATGGCTTCATCACTGCCACTCTTGACTGACCTGGTGGATTTTTAAAAAAGATTTATTTATTTATTTAATGTATATGGGGTTCTATCTACATGTACCACTTTATGCCAGAAGAGGGCATTAGATCTACTATAGATGGTTGTGAGCCACCATGTGGTTGCTGGGAATTGAACTCAGGACCTCTGGAAGAATAGCCAGTGCTCTTAACTGCTGAGCCATCCCTCCAGCGCCAACCTGGTGGATCTTTCTTTCTTTCTTCGTGAAGCCTGCTTAAGATGGACGCCAGCTCTGCTTTGTCTGCTTCCCCACTTCCCCAAAGGCCTGTAAACAGTAAAAACAAACAAACCAAACAGTAAAAGGCTTTGTTCTCATGGGTGTGGCCGCCCCCCATCCTCAGAGCCCCCAACTCCCACCTACCCACCTACCTATCCTGTACCCTTCTCCAGCCAAGGATTGTGGGCCTCTTCATTCACTCCCCACTTTGGAGCGAGTCTGTGGGTCAACCCTGCCTTGCCAAGGGTCTTACACCAAGCTGCTGTCCTGCCCTCACCTGGGAGGGCCAGCTTTCAGGATGCCTCAACACCTTCTGGGGGGCTGCCATGGTATCTTCCCTTCTCATGTGGAAACTGAGGTTTGGACAGGCTGTATGCTCCTCTCACCAGAGATGGGGTTACCACAGATCCAGCCCTAAACCCCTTCACCTTCTTCTCAAGCTTTGGTCCTTGGCTCTGGATTACATTCTATACCACAAAGTGCAGAAGTCATATTACCTTGATGGACTTACCTTGACCTCTAGGACACTATCCCCTATCTATTCTGCAGAGTGTGGTAAGCTCTCAGGTCACATCTGTGGTTTATCTGTCCCCCAACTTTGGCCATGACTAAAGTGGTCACTCATCTGCCCTTTACCTCCTGTCTATTCTTGCCTCATTCTCTCTGTCCTTTTGTTGAAACTTGGAGTACATTCATCATTATATCTGTTTTTTTTTTTTTTAACTTTTTGTTTTTTTGAGACAGGGTTTCTTGTGTAACAGCTCTGGCTGTCTTAGAACTTGCTTTGTAGACCTGGCTGGCCTCAAACCCACAGAGATCCATCTGCCTCTGCCTCCCGAATGCTGGGATTAAAGGCATGTGTGCCACCACCGCCAGCCCTCAGCATTATATTTTTGTTTAAATCCTTCTACAGCCCTCCTCTAAAAAAAAAAAAAAAATGAGAGCCGGGTGGTGATGGCTCATGGCTTTAATCCCAGCACTCAGGAGGCAGAGCCAGGCAGATCTCTGTGAGTTTGAGGCCAGCCTGGTCTACAGAGTGAGATCCAGGACAGGCACCAAAGCTACATAGAGAAACCCTGTCTCGAAAAAATAAAAAACAGAAAACAACAACAAAAATCCTTCCACAGCAGCTCTATGGACTTAAGCCAAATCTTCTTCTCTGTCCTCTCCTTGGTTCCTCTTTGGCCTGGGCTTCAGCCACTTGGATTCCTTCTCTGTTCCTTACTCTGGAGGTGTTTACACTCCTGCTTTGGCCATCAGGCACCCCGCCTCTCTTCGCTCATTTACTCATCGGATGAGTATGAGCCCCCCTCAGGATGCCTCCCTTGATACCAGAGCTCCTGTCCCCCAACCAAGTACTAGGAAACTGATGTCACATTGCCCATCTGTTGTCCAACTCCCTCAATCAGAAGCTGTGTTTAAATGGGTGCTTCCCCTTGGTCTAGACAGCCAGGGCATGGCCCCAGGGAGGACCTGCCAGGTCTTCATTCCTCCCAAGGGACTGTCCCCACTTTGGTCTTGGGTCTGCTTCATTGGGGAGGAAAAAAAAAAGGTGGGAGG